TTTCTTTTCAGGAGCTAGCTCTTCTAGGAAGGGGTGCATGATGGTTAAAGATGATTTCTTGACCGCATGTTCCCTCTCTGCCTCGCTTCTGCTCCTCCACAATATTCCTCACTCCATCCACAACTTCCCTACCAGACGACACCATACGGATTCACGGTTTGAAGGCTACGAGACTTGACACCGCCTACAAAGCACACACCACTCTCAACTGAGCACCACGACTATCATGGCGCCCATCCAAACGCAGACGATTACCCCTCACCAACTCAGCAACCCAGTCACTGTCATTCGAGCATCAGGGCGCATATCGAAGCCACCAGCGCGATCAACGCGTACGCAAACCAAGGCACTGTTGTCTCATTCGCCACAAATACCTACCGCCCACCCAGACATCGACATCAGTCTGCTCCGTAACAAGTTGCTTCTTCAGTGCCGCCAATACATCCCTTCAGAGCTTCTCCACGAAGCACTGGCAGACGGCATCTACTCACGCGCTACACACTGGATCACGCCCTCATCCAACGCTGCGTCAAAGTTCGGCAAGCGGAAGCGCTACTACGTCTTGCATAGCGCGAACTTCACCTTTCAGTCCATGGGCAGCGCGTGGGAAGCCCGAATTCTATCTAGAGGCAGCCAGCCCATCGATGCAGGAAACGGAGTAGTCGTCTTCGTCAAGGAGAGGAAAGAATGGGACGCGTTCATGGCGGGGTACAGAAGGCAAGGAAAGAGAGCGGGGCAGCTGATGAGGCTTAAGCAAAAGGATACGGAGCGAGGGTGGAGAGATGCGTGGAAGAGGAAGTGCGGGATGGAGGAGGGCGGCGGCAAGGAAGTCAACGCTGGGCCAATGTGGGTGCTGGTCAAGAGCGCTGTTTCGAAGATTGTCAGAGGTGAGGCGTGAGCTTGCATTCTGGGCCCCGGAACAGGGTGGGGGCTGCATCTGCTGGCGTTTGGCCTTGGATCTTCTTTTTTAGCGAGCATATTTTCACGACCTTATGAACGGCTGGAGCGGTAAGCGCGGAGAAGGCTTTGATGCCTTTTCCAGACTATGCGTAGATACCTCTTTCCACAATGAATGACATAACCACATGAAAACTCGGTCGGCAGATTCGCACCCTTTGCATCATGTGTGTGCTCCTCCAGCTCGCAGTGAAGCGGCGCTCCACACACTAGCGAGTGGGTGGCGCGCCCCGGTCGAGTCGATCCCTGAGGCTCAAACACGGCCCGTGCTCGCTTCTAACTCCGTCTTAGCCCCGGCCACTTGATGCCACGGTTGAAGCTTAGGAACTGCCTATGGCGCAGGTGTAATCTAAACCTAAAGCCAGGTGTACACTTTCCACTGACCCACAGTCGCTCGAGAAACATTGTTTCTCTGTATTCCTCGCGCACCCTCATCGCGCAGTCCACTCCTTTACACACAACGCGACACGCTACAACACGAACACGGCGCGCGCCTTCCTCAATCAACTCCCACGACGTCCCTAGCGATACCCACGATACAGCACGCACAATGGAAGCCTCTCGGCGCAAGGTCAACGAGACGAATGGAAACGCGAAGGGAGATGCGCAGCACCACCAATTGGACGGTGCGGTGCATTCAATCGAGCAGAAGCTGGAGGAGCAAGCAGAGCTCCATGCCCGGAACCCTCAGGAGCAAAAGGAAGCGGGGCTCTTCCAGTTGGTAATCTGTGTCGCTGGTATATATGGAAGTTTGTAAGTCACCCTGGAGCCTACGTTGAGGTCATGTCGCCTACTTTGTACGTTTTTACGTCGATGTAGGCTGCAGGCCTGTTCAGCTTTTTTTCGCGTATGAGGTGGTCGCAATGTACAATATTACGTTGGACGGGAACATAACTAACACAGGATAGCATGACCTGGGCATGGATCCAAGAGCGATTAACAACCACCACCCACGGCCCCGGCAACCAGCGCTTCACGTACTCCATCTTCCTCAACACCGTCCAATCCGCCTTCGCTGCCATCACCGGCCTCCTCTACCTCAACCTCTCCGCGAAGAAAGACCCCAAGACCGGCGTGCGCAAGGTGCTACCCATTTTCCCCTCGAAAGACATCCTCATGCCGCTCCTCGGAATCGCCGTCACATCGTCGCTCGCGTCCCCCTTCGGATACGCAAGTCTCAAGCACATTGACTACGTCACCTTCATCCTAGCCAAGAGCTGCAAACTGCTCCCGGTCATGTTCCTCCACATCTCGCTCTTCCAGAAGCGATACCCCATGTACAAGTACGCCGTCGTCGGTTTCGTAACCCTCGGTGTCGCGGTCTTTACACTACACAGCCCGTCCACAGCGAAGAAGGCCGCGAAGAAGGGTGTCAGCGCAGACGCCTCGCAGACCATTGGTCTCATCCTGCTCGGGGTGAATCTTCTCTTCGACGGCCTGACGAACACGGTTCAAGACCACATCTTCAGCAGCTTCAAGGGTTTCACAGGACCCCAGATGATGTGCGCCCAGAACATCATGTCAACAGCACTGACAGTGTCGTACCTCCTCATCACACCTCTCCTTGCCTCCACTCCCCTCGCTGGCTGGATCGGCCTTGACCCACGCTCATCATCCGGTGAACTCTCCGACGCGCTCTCCTTCATAACCACATACCCTGCTGTCGGCTGGGACGTCCTAATGTTCTCCGCCTGTGGCGCTATAGGCCAGGTCTTTATCTTCCACACCCTAGCCCACTTTAGTTCTTTGCTGCTTGTCACAGTGACGGTTACGAGGAAGATGCTGACCATGGTTTGGAGTGTGTGGTGGTTCGGTCATGAGATTACTGGCATGCAGTGGCTAGGTGTTGGACTGGTGTTTGGTGGTATTGGTGCGGAGGCAGCAGTGGGAAGGAGGGAGAAGGCGAGGAAGGCTGCGGCTAAGAAGTTGGAGGAGGAGAAGAGGAAGAGGTAGATGATGTGGGTGTATTTAGACCATAGACGTTAGAGATCTGGCGCGAGTCTGTTTAGGTAAATGCATTAAAAATCCCTGTCAGCGAGGCGGTACCAGCAAAATTGTGCATCACTTGCCGGCATTGAAAGCGACACGATAAAGCCTGTTAGGAGTAGCTAGTTGGAAGGCTCTCATTCTCACGGAAAGAACGCCAAAAGCAGCCTCATGCTCCGTCTTATCCGGAACGATCTGAGATGAAGAGCCCTTAGTGATCTGGGTACCATGCCACCACCCCACCGCACTATAGCAGCTCCAGGTCTTTCAGCCTCTATTTCCAGCGCAAAGTGACAAGGACACACTACCTCTGCTCTTACCAGCACAATGGGATCGACAGATCCACCACTCTCGAATCCGAACGATGCGTCGCCCTCTCGTCACTATCGTGGTTACACTGGCAGAGCAGTAGAGGCGATCGGTGCTAACTATGTTCTGCAAGAGATACTACGTAGCATATGCACCACCGTCTTCTTCCTTACCGCTGTGTTGACCCTTACGTGGGGTTGGCTCAGCGCACCGACCAGTGATGAAGCAGTAAGTACATTGCTCTCCGAACAAAATGGTTTCAGGTAAAGTATACTGACATGTTGTACCAGCCCTCCACTCCTTCCTTGGACGTCTCGCCACAGTTCATATTTCTATCGAGGGTCTTCTTCTTCGCAATATCCATTCCGGTCTGGATTGCCTACCTTGTCCTCCTCGCACGCCATCCGCACGTGGCTACTGATGCGGTTGCTCGCTGGCTACCATGTGCATGTTCTATACTGGGGAAAGGTGTGTTCACCATAGTGTTTTTGGGAGTAGGGCAACGGTGCCACGGGGTTATGCCGCGCTTCCTTGTGGGGTTTTCGGTTGCTCAGGCTTGGTTGGACCTTCGGATTGTGTTGATCGTTGGGCAAGTCCTCATGAAGACGTGGCACCATATTGTGGATGATTTGAAGACCGCTGGTATTCGGTCCCCTAATTTTTAGATAGTTTATCTATGGTCGGGGATAAGTGAAGGGATGTTGAGGTGGCACAGCGTCTGTTGGCGTTCAAGCTGAGCCTTACTCATCTGTACCACCACGCCCCAATCACCCCACTTCCTCTTCTAGAGCTCCAACACAACCTACCCGCTCTCTCTATTATAGTAAGAATCAAGATACACCGAGCAAATAATTCTAGTCATGTCGCAAGAACCTCTTCTCCCCTCCTATGGCGCAGCCACACAGCGCCCACGCTCCAGCGAGTATCGCCTCGTCGCAAAGCACACCAGTGCTGCGCGTACACTGATGAACACCCTCTTCGTGTTTTTCTCGTGTGTCAGTGCCATATTCGCGACTCTCTGGGCAAGTCGAAGCAGTGGTACAATCGCGGAGCATGTAAGTAGTTCATCAAACTTGTCAGTCTTCTATTGACACTCACGCAGCCTCACACTCCACACACCAGCACTGCGCCCCTCCTTCCCTATTTCGCATCCATCTCTCTTGTCGTATCAACGTGCTTCTGGGTCGCCTATCTCGTGTTCATCGCGCATGACAAAGAAAGTGGCTCAGTTCTCAGGCGTAAGATCACTATCGGTGTTGCGATTGCTGGGAAGGCGGTGCTCGCAGCGACTCATGTGGCGATCTGGCAGGCATACAAGATGTGGTGTGAAGGGCTTGAGACACCCAATTGGGCAGTAGTGTTCGTGGCGGCACAGGCCTGGTTCGATGTGGTGTTCGTGGGGATTCACGGGTGGATTATGTGAGCGCTTATGGTGACAAGAAGGGTCATGTTGTGATGAAGGCGTCGATGCAACAGCTTGGTGTGATTCAGCTCAGTTGTCTGGAGATCAACGCCCTTCCAAGCTTATTGGGATTACGGAAGTCACACGCCCAAGTGGGTTAGCCGTTCGGGCTAGAATCTTAGCGATTGTGGAATTGGAAGCTACGTGCCAGTATCCATCTCTCACACTCCCGCCAACATCATCTCCCGATAATAAGAGGCTACCTCCAATATGTATACCTTCTGACTATAACTCTGTAAAACATTTCAATTGAGGCGGCAATGCAGGATTGTTCTCCCCTGGCATCCTAATTTCCGTCACCAGCACTGTTACCTGTGTCATCGTCGGATTCTTTCACTTCCCTTTTCTTCGCAATCAGATACGCGATCTCGATCTGCATATCCGATTGCGGAAAGTTCTTCACGGCTTCTCGAAACTCTGGGAAGTTCTCTCGAGCAATATCTCTGAAAGGCTTGTTGGGGCCCTCGTACAGCTCTATCAGCTCCTTGTCATCAGGTTCTTTCCATAATTTTTCGCATCTTTTTCGCATCTTGTTCCACTTTTCCCTGAACCCTGAGCTGGTCTGATTCTTGAAGAAGAGACGTAATTCGTTGAGCGCAACATCAGTGTGCCGCATGTTCATGTGCCGCATGATACATAGCAGCGCATAAAGATCGCGGGCATCGAACGGCTCTTTCTTGGCCCTCATTGTCTGTGAGCCACCTTTGCAGAGGGTTACCGGCCACCCGGTCTCATTCAAATCCGTGCGTAACCCATCTCTCTCAGCTTGGTCAAGGTGTAACGAGTCGAGCGCTCGGTTGCGTCGTGCGACCAGATCTCGGATTTCCTCGATGTCGTTCAGCGCTTGGTCGTCAGGTAGTTGTGGGCCTGGTGCGGGAACGTCTGCACTAGATGATGCGGAGGCCATCATAGGTATCAGTTAGGAATTACACGAGGGTTGGCTTATCAGCGTTATATAATACTCTCTGTTTGCTGGCATACAAACTAGATGAGACATCAGTCAGTAGGACGGGGTCATGCTTGCCACAACGTATCATTGTGACCCAAGATCTTGCGTTGATATAGGACTCATTTCGGTATTTACCTATGTACATTTTCGTTTGTAGGGGGGGCACGTGGTATTGAGATCGTACCGGTACTTCCGGTAACCCTCCACGGGGCTTGCGATACTCAGCGAAGGTTCATAACGACAGCATCTTGCCAATTCAGCTAATTCAGTCTGTATACAGCAAAACTAAAACACTTCTTCTAGACCCCCCTAGTAGCGCTTAAACTTCGTGTAAATCACTTCACCAAATTTGGAAATGTCAAATTGAGATGAGTCTGCTGTTCTCTCTATTTCTGAGCATCTAATACAGAGATCAGATGCACTCGGTGTGCGCTACTCTTAGTTCTCGTCTCTGGTCTCGTTCCCCTCTTGCTCCCTTTTCAGAGTTCTGTACTGGTCACGACACTGACTGACTCGCATACCAATGAAAATGTACTCTGCTATCTTGTCCATTCCCAGCAGTTTCTCGTCCCCCAGCGTCATGAGCAGGTCATTGTCCACGTCTTGCCAAGTCCATGTAGGACCATCTCTGCAGCCCTCGATTGAGTCAAGAGACTGCCAGACTGTTGGCCAACCGTACTTTTGAAACAGCCCGCGTATCTGGCTTTGAACTTCCTCTGATACAGGTAGCTTGGAGAGGACAAAACCTTTGTACTGTTTCAGTAATTGTGTTGCAGATGCTTCAGAATCGTTCAATGAGTCAGCCGACCAGCATTAAGCAGAATTAGCTAGGGGCATTTACCTGCACTCTGATCTCCCTGTCCGGCCCCAGCTTCAACCTCAGCCTGTAAAATAGCCGCGGGCAGTCGCTTGGAAACTTCTGAATCGGCATATGCTTTAGCCTCTGGGAATTTAGGATCGTCTTTAAAGTTTCCCACACGTCCGTCAGCAATATTCTCAGCGGCAACCTCGTCCTGGACTCTATTGTGGATGGCTTGAGCTTCCGCATCGCTGAGTATCTCGCTCGTGTTGATGAAAGCTCCGTCAGGTGAAAACATGATGGATCGATTAAGAGTAATTGACATCTGAGTCAGTACCGCAGGCTCATTGAGTTCCTTTTCAATGGAGAAGCAGCATCGATTGCTTCCCTTACCACGCTGCTTCACCATGTGCTCAAATTTCACGCGTGGTGCAGACAAATGACTCTACATCTGAGTTCGCGATCGAGAAGCCCCATGTGAGAGATATGCTATGTTTTTCATAAGCACAGCTACTCTACACTACCCTTCCTCGCCCACTCCCTAAGAACATTCTTCTGTATCTTCCCCGTGCTCGTCTTGGGCAACTCCTTGACAACCACAACCTCCCTGGGCACCATGAAGCGACTGATGTTACTGTTCTCCTTGGCCCACTGAATCACCTCATCGCCCAACGTGTCGCTGTTTGTCCCGTCCTTTGTGGTAACAAAAGCCTTGGGCCGCTCGCCCCAGTGTGAGTCCGGCACGGCGCAGACGCCGACTTCGAGGATGGAGGGGTGCGTGGAAAGCATGGCCTCGAGCGCTACGCTGGAGATGTTTTCGCCGCCTGTGACACGTTCGGTTAGCAAGTCGCTTCAAAGAAGTGAGGCCCGGGAAGTCAACAACATACCACTGATAATAATGTCCTTCGCACGATCCAGGATCTGTATCGCTCCATCTGGATGCCAAACAGCTAGATCGCCTGTATGTAACCAGCCACCCTCCCACAGCTTGCGCGTCGCTTCGGCATCTTTGTAGTAGCCCTTTGCGCAGATGTTGCCTTCGAAGATGACTTCTCCAATCTCTTTGCCGTTTCTTTCCACGTCGGTGAGAACACCTTCCGGCTGCTCAGTCTTGATGACTCGCGTCGCTTTGCCCATGATAAAGCCGTGGCCTTGTCGTGCCATACGATCGTATTTCGTCTTCTCGGGTAGCGTTTCCCATTCGGGCATGTGGTAGCCTTTCGTGATCGGACCGTAGGTTTCCGTAAGACCGTAGACGTGAACGGGGTGTAGGTTCAAATTTGACATCTGTTCGAAGAGCCAGGCGCTCGGCGGACTTGCGGCTACGGTGACTCTGACTGGTTGGGGTAGGCGCTCTGCTTCTTTCGCTGCGCAGAGGAGGGTGTTGACGGTTGGTGCGGCGTTGAAATGCGTGATGCCTTCCTCCTTGAGCAGGCGCCAGATCTCTGGGTAGTCGATCTTGCGGAGGCAATAGTGCGTTCCTCGGACAGCGGTGACTGACCACGGGAATGTCCAACCCGTCGCGTGGAACATTGGCAGAGTCCAGAGATACTTTGCGCGGCCGGTATGATAGTTCAGCCCGGACTCGATGACATTGCCCATGGCGGCAAGGTAGACGCCACGATGTGTATATTCGACCCCCTTCGGCCGTGCTGTTGTTCCGCTGGTGTATGCGAGTGCCATGACGTCTTCTTCGTCCTTCGCCTGGGACTCCAGGTCTGCCCAGCCCTTGCCCCCTTGCTCAATATCGTACTTCAATCCCTCGAGTACTGCATCGTCGAAAGGGCCCGAGAGTTCGCCTTCTGTCGCATCCGTGTCTGTGTCAATCAGTATTGGTACGTTTGGTCTTTCCTTCTTGTATTCGTCCAACAAGCCCACAAACTCAGCATCGGCAATGATCATGTCCACGTCCGAGTGCTGGAAGATGTAACTGATGTCATCGTGCTTCAACCGGTAGTTGATAGCGACATTCACACCTCCTGCCGCCGCGATACCGAATGTGCTCTCCAGGAATGCTGGTGTGTTTGTCGCCAGTATGCCTACTCTCTTGTACCCGTGTTTCCTCAGGTAGTATGCCAGCCCTCGTGCGCGGTCCGCAGCTTCAGCATAAGAGCGCCGTAGGATCCTGCCGTTCGCCGTCTTGTGGTATATTGCCATGGCGTCTGGCTCGATTTGCGCCGCGCGCCAGAGGAACCATGTTGGGCTGAGGGTGTGGAAATTGTGTCGATGATGGTATTCGTGGCTGTCGCCGGGATGGATGGGCGGTGGCCCGGGGACGGGGTTGGCGGACGTGAAATGCGACGCGAGCTGCTTGAGACGATCTTTGGCACCCTCCATTGTATCTACGCGAGCTTTTGGTAGTTCAGAGTTCTAACAGCAGCTTATATACACGCGACGGAAATATCGATCTACAATTTGGCCAAGCTGAGCTGAAGCTACAGACGCCAGAGTGCGGAGTAGCTCCGCTGTGGCACGAGATGCGAGAGATGTCCGAGGTCTTGAGCGATGAGAGGGCTGCAGGACGCGATTTTTGACAGGGGTGCGCGATGGCGGAAGGAAGGAAGTCACGATACTCTGAACAACGTGGTCTAATAAGTTTCTTACAGGGCGCAATGACATCTGGACTGACACCTAACCCTGAAGCTTACAGCCATGGGGAAATCTGGGGAAGGGTACCGGTTCCGGTGCGGCACGACGTCACAGCCGAGGTTAAGCGCCAGTAGGCATAACCTATCCTCCCGACCGCGTCGGATCGCAACCCTACCGGATTGCGAGGGTGTTATGCAAGGCACTTGTTCAAATTGTGACCACAGAGCAGATGCCAAGTACAAGGGGAATCGTGAGTGAATTAACATAACCACAAGTCTATTGCTGAATGCTCAACGCCGTCACCATGCTTTACATCAGCTGGGATTTTTCATTTCGTATTGCTTCTAGCCGGAAGAGTACCTGAAGACACAGCAGACCGACCGCGAAGAGACCCATGAACACGTAAGCACCCTGGTATTGATGTGCTCTTTTAGCCTGGACACCCTTTCGAATGGTCGGAGTATAGTAGAGGAAATAAACATCCCATGAGCCCAATGCAATCCACGCCGAACCACGTCACCGAAACTGAAACCGACACTGTTCATCGACTGCCGGTTTCTAGTATGCGAGGGATGTGAGCTCTTGCTGGACCTTGGAGTCGACGTTGGCCGTCTTCTTGGCCTCAGCCATCTGCCGGCGGATAGCCTTCTTGCGCTCGTAGTATGCGGCACCCTTGACCTTCCTGCGCTCCTCAAGACTGCGTGTGAATTAGCATTTCTGATCTCGCTGATATGGACTGGGGCGACATACCGGGCAACGACGTCCTGGTACTTCCAGCCGAACTCGTGTCCGAGACGGCCGACAGTGCAGTACTTGCGTCCGGGCTTGAGCCTCAGCACCCTCAGGGCCTGGGGAACGACGACGCGCTTCTTCTTGTCGTAGGGAGCGGGGACACCCTCGAAGGTCTTCAAGCGCTCCATGGCGGCCTTACCGCGGGGAGTCTTGTGAGGGATCATACCGCGGACGGTTCGCCAGAACATCTTGGAGGGAGCGCGGAAGTGGAAGGGACCTGGCAGATGGGTCAGCACATGTCGGCTAGCAACGCGCACATTCGACTTTGGACTGCGAATGCGCCATGTATGGACGGGGAGACGTACCACCACGAGTGGGGTTGTAACGGGTCTGCTTGCGCAGGAAAGCAGAGTACTTCACTGTAGGGTCATGTCAGTTACCGTCTTGCCAGAAAATGTCCCAAGAGCGCTCCGCCAAAAAGCAGCCAACGTGCACATCGCCGACCACATCATTCTCTTGTAGCTCCGTGTACCAATTGCACTCCATGGCTTGCTCCTGATCTCGCTCGCTCGTTCGGTGGGTGTACGTACACTTGGCGCGGAAGAACTCGCCGGAGATGTTGAGGGCCTCGCATCGCACAACAACGATCTTCTGGCCGTTGAGGAGCTGCTTGGCGACGGTGCTGGCGAGGCGACCGAGCAAGTGGCCCTTGCCGTCGATGACCTGCGTGCGCTGTCAGCGAGACGTCCAAGGAAGATGCGTGGTGTTGACGGGATTGCAGGCTGGCATCGCGGCGGCATGCGAAGGCCAGTGCCTGGGATATCGGGCTGCGTCTATCGGGGCGTACGTACAATGACGGGTTCGAATGTCGACATTTTGCTCGACTCCGGTGTGCTATGAGGTTAGTTGTCGTGATGGAGAGCTCGATGGATGCGAATTCCAGGTGGCTCGACTAAGCGAACTGAATATTCGAGTTTGTGGTGCACGGACCCATTAGCGTGACTTCATCTCCAACGAGGTGAGCTGCCCATCACCAACGTCTGCATGACAGCCAACACCAACAACCAACGCACGTCTTTAGCTCGCATACTCTGTGAGGTAGCAGTCCAAACACGATGAAAGCTTGTTTTTTTTTTGGCGAATTGTCGCAGCATCTTGTGGAGCGTCTGCCCGTACCGTCATGTCAGACGGGCGCTTTCCAGGGTCGTTGAGGTTAATTGAACGGCTTCGACTGCGAAAGAGACAACAACGAAGATCTGACCTATTCCCGTGAGGGATGGATCTCTGAACGATCCCGACTGCTTTAATCAGGCTACAATCTCATCGCAAAACTCCATCTACTTGTTTGCAACAGTCCGAGCTGCTGCTGCTGCCACTTCTGCGTCCATGCCAGGCCAAACTTACATTAGTATCTGTGTAAATTGTCGACCCGCAACCAGCAATCTGTCTAAACCTGAATCAGGGACTTGCAATCATCGCCGTTCAGATCCGATGGTCTTCTCGAATGCGTGTGCTTCTATCGCGATCCAGCATATGCCCGTCTTTGACATGTCGGACAGCAATGATGTAAGCGTTTCTGCGGTAGCTGCTATAGCTAGAGACATGAGAGAGCGAGCGAGAGTCTGAGGACGACGATGTTGTGTACCCGATGCCTTTAAACGTCACCGCTCACAAGTGTCAAGTCGTCTCTATCGTTGCATCGTACTGAGGTATACATCGCAAAACTCGTCGGTATAAAGGGAAGAGCATACAGATAAATCTGTCAATCGAAGAAGGTGAGGATAGCGTATGCGCTCGCTCCTGCCAGACTGAGCTGCAAAATGGATTCTGCGCCCCATCTAGCTCATGTCAGGCAGGCGCGCCTCCCAGCTCTACCACACGCATCATCAGTCCTCGTAAGCAGAAGAGTCTGCAAGAACAACCACGACCCACGCTGTCGCAACGCTCTCAATCATCGAGCCAGCCATCGTCGTCTCG